AATTCCTGGAAATTGACTCTATATTGGATTTGTTGAGGAAACTGGGGGTATGTATTGTCTTCACTGTGTCCATAGACCTTAGGTTTATTTATTAATAATTTTAACCTTCAATGCATGCTTACCAAGAGATGTGGGCAAATCAAGTATTGCTAGTGCAATCTACCATGTTTTACTCATGATGTATCAGTCCCTGATAACTGTGTGAATGTGAAATATCACCCACAGGATCACGTGATTGACATCCTAGCTGAGCTGGTGACAATTTTGGTAGGTTATGTAACCTTTTGGACACAACCTTGATGGTTGAACTATTTGTATGTATGCAGTATTGAGAGGACACCTTTCTGAGTTTCTCCAGGGTCCTTTGATTCTGGTTTTTTAGAGATAAGAGGAAGAGGAGCATAAGCTCCTGATACCATAAACCAAGCTTTACCCAACTGCCGTGCTTTCTCAGCCAAGACGAGACTCTATCTCCCAAAACAGCAAATCCTGTCTTTATATTTTGTTCATGCTTTCTCAGCCAAGAAGACACTCTATCCCCCAAAACACAAATCCTGTCTTTAAATTTTGTTAAGTTACTCTATTGTATATTTGGTAAAATGCTCTCTAGGGGAAACATGGGGAGACATTAATCTACTGAAGATTTGGTCTTGGACTTCACCTGCTCCAGAAGATGATCTGGACACTAGATCTCTGTATGATCACAGGTGCCACAGAGACTGCAGCACGGAAAGCATACCTAGGCTGACTCCAGCCCTGTTGTCCTCAATGGAGCTAGGAAAGTTAGAATTCCCTGGCCACCTGTTTTCCTCATGGCCCTTCTTCCTTAGCTCTCAAGAGCACTCCAAGTGTTCCTTCATTCTTGTCACTTACATTAAACTTCTTAGAGAGGAGACACAGCACCCTTTGATGTTTCCCTGGCACATTGCTTCGTGGAATTTATTCTCTAGTTTGTAAAGTAGGCAGTACCTATTCTCAGTACTACAGCTGCCACCAGGACAAGTTCCCCTTTCTACTACTAAGGCACTCAAAGAAATGTGGTGTTGTTTGATGCTGTTTCTTCAAACAGAAGAGATTCTTCTGGTGGTGGAAAACACAGCTGTGTTTTCTGTCCACTCTAAATAACTTCTTTAATCAATCTTAACTTTTAACCCCTCCCAAATCCATCTTACCACCAGAACCTGAATCTATGAGTCCCAGAAGTGATATATTCTGGTTTGGCCAGATATATATAACTTAGATGGTTATGGAGCAGCACTGGTTAACAAAAACATGCTGGTTCTTCCTTAGACATAACTGACAAATAGTGCTCACTATGCATGTGCAGTGTAAGCCTGGCAGTCTTCTTTTGGTTTACTCTATTTTCATCCAGCAAGGTCTTTTTCTCTTCTTCAAAGTTGAAGGATTCCTTTTTCCCTACAGTGACCTTGCTTGGTAGTTGGATTTTTTTCCCTCATATTTTTTTTTCAACAAGAGGTCATGGATGAGTCTGCCTTTTGATGAAAATGGAACTTCTCTCTTGAAGATTCTCTCTGGGTGGTTTGGTTCTGTGTTTTCAATGCAGTGAAAGGCTTTGAAGTTACACTTTTTGTGGACGCAGGAGTGGATGTATATGCTTTTAACATGATTCTAACACACTGATGAGATGTAATTTCCAGCCATGGCTGTTGGAATTCTAAATGTCTTCTCTACAGCCTGGTCCATATATTTCCCTCGATGAAGGGACCTTCTACTATTATGTTATAGAAAATGTTTTCTATGCCCTGAGTATCTTCACAATATCTTCAGTGTCTGATCTTTATATTTAGTCACTGCAGTGCTTTTAGTGAGAATGCCCCACACGGGTTCAGATATTTGAACACTTGGTCCCAGCTGGTGATGCTATTTGGAGAGGTGTCAGTAGGTTTGGGAGATGGAGCGTTGATAGAGGAAATCTGTCCCTGGAGGCAGGCCTTGACTGTTTACAGTCTCTGCCCACTGTTTGCTCTCTGACTCCTGCCTATCGCTGAGATGGGATCGCTAAGCTTCCTTTTCTTGCTCCCATGCCTGCCATTTGCAGCTAACTCTCCCCACCATGACAGACACATATGCCTTTAGAACTGCAAGGCCAAATCTATTCTTCCTTCTGTAAGATGCTTCTAGCCACGGTGTTTTATCACAGAAACAGAAAATTAACAAGTCCCATCTCTGAATAGCAACATCCCAGAGATCTAGAAAGATGTGGTCATTCCTTTTAATTCTTAGTGTCTAACTGTAATTATACCCCAACCTTGATTTCTAGCTCTAGTTGTTCTTCTGCTTGACTCTCTCCACTGCTGAGGCTCTTTACAGAATGTCTATGCTCAATGTATAGGGGTTTTCATGAAAACTAATCCAATAGTTTTCATGTTCTGTCTCCTGACTTTCACATTCAAATTGTGTATTTTGTTCTTATATTTTCAGCTGTTTATTGGTGTCCTCGTTGAAGTAATAGCTGTTTTCTTTCTAATTACTTTAAATTTTATTTTAATAAAATCTGTCTTTCATTTCGTGTGTGTGTGTGTGTGTGTGTGTGTGTGTGTGTGTGGTTTGTTCCATATGTTATGTGTGTACTGGGATTACAGCTATGCACCTCTAAGTCCAGCTGAGATATGTTTTTAAATGACCTATCATTGAATCAGAGAATAAAAGGATAAAATAAGATTTAGAAGAGGCTATCATTCCTTTGATGAGCAGTAATACTTCTTGAAATTCTGTAATATAAATGGGCAAGTTATTTCATGTTCTCAATAATTAGATTATTTTATTTGCTTTTTACATTTCATCCATTTAAAAATTTTGAAGTGTGTGTGTGTGTGTATACACCTGGGCCATGATGTGTATATAGCACTGAGAGGACAACTTAAAAGTATTATCACCAGGCATTGGTGGTGTACGCCTTTAATCCCAGCACTAGTGAGGCAGAGGCAGGCAGATCTCTGTGAGTTCGAGGCCAGCCTGGTCTTCAGAGCGAGTGCCAAGATAGGATCCAAAGCTCCACAGAGAAACCCTATCTTGAAAAACCAAAAACCAAAATCAAAAACAAAAAAACCTGTCTATTATCTACTTCTGATATGTGAGCTCTATTGATGAAACCTAGAGAGTCATTTGGCTGCAAGTGCTATGTATGAGTGTGTGAATACCACTGCCCAAGGGTAGAAATAAGAGAAAAACAGGTAGGAGTAATATAGGTAATCAAGAGATAAAACTCAGCTCATCAGGCATAGCAGGAACCAACTTTACTGCATGAGGCAATTCTCTGGAATTTAGTTGTGGTTCTGAGAAAGTATTATGAATAAATGTTTAATTCTCAGAATAAACTTAAAAATAAACTGTAGTATAAAATTTTTCATATGAAAAGTAGTTTTATTATTCAAATTGTCCAGTGTTCCTCTATAATTATATGAAATGATGCTTACAATCTGAAAAGAAGACAAACAGTATACTGTTTGCAATATTTGCAATATTTGCAAATACTGCAAAAAAACAAACAGTTGCAATATTTCTACTAATCTTATTTGGGCACCAGTGACACAGCTCTGTGGGAAAGGTCTGTGGTGTGCAAGTCTGGAAACCCAACCTTGATCACTATATAAAGAGGACCAAAAGAGATACCACCATGCTGTCTTCTGATATCTTCATATCTGCTATGGGATGACAAACCCATAATCACATTACACACACACACCATAAATGTTTGTCACAAAATAAATCTTGGTGCCATTACATTATCTGGCATCTGTGGATAATTTCCTAAGAAGGCAGTGTTGGGGACTATTATGCTGTGTCTTTGTTTATGTTGTATTTGTTTAACTCTGTGAAGCTGTAACTCTTTGCCCATCTAGAATAGCTGATGGTCTAATAAACATCTGAATAGCTTTGCTCCACTCTGCTAAGAGAGCTTCCCAGCAGAGATATCCATTGCTGTTCTACTCCACTCCCCTAAGGGAGTTTCCAAGCAGAGGGGTCCGTTGCTCTCTGCTCTGCTTCAATAGGAAGTTTCCTAGCAGAGACGTCTGTTTCTTCTCAGCTCCCACCCAAATTACTACATCTCTGCTTCACTCAACTAAGGGGGAAACAGCTGCAGTAATATACTGGTCAGCTCCAGCTCCTGCAAACAGTTGATAGTACTGCTCCACTCCCCTAAGACAGCTTCCCTGCAAAGGTGTCCATTACTTCTCTGTTCCACTCCACTACAGAGTTTCTGATCTGCTCCAGTGAAAGAAAGGTCTTCATCTAAAACCCATTCAAGAGATTTATTTGGAGGGGAGGAATCTGGGAGAATGGCTGCCTCTGCCAGGGTAGAAAAAGGATTCTGCCACCTGAAAAAGCATAGAGCTTCATAGGGGTAGAGTTTTTTCAGGGAGATTTTTGGGGTGGAAATTGGTCAGATTTCAATCCCTGGCCATGAACAAGCTCAGAGATTGGCTGACTTTTGTGCTCAGGGAATGGTGGGTTTCAAGCTCAGGGACTGGTTGGTTTTGTGTTCAGTTGCTCAAAGGTAGAGTTTCTTTGGCTCTAGTTTCAGGGTCTAAGTGTGTTTCTTTCACTGGCCCCTTTTAACCTTTTGGCTCTGGTTTCAGGGCCAGGGGGCTCTTTCACTGGCTCTGGATTACTGACAAGGTATGTGACTTGGGCTCTAGATTCAGAGTCAGGGTGTGTTTCTTTGGCTCCAGTTTCAGGGCCAAAGTGTATGTCTTTCACTGGCTCTAGTTTCAGGGTCAGGGTGTGTTTCCTTGACTGGGCCTTTTACCCTATACATAGAGTTCATAAGTTCACATTTTTCCATGAGTTTCCTGATGCAAACAATATAAGAACAGATATCATAATGCTTGAATGGATAATTGGCACTGTCAAATTTCTTCTACAGAATAAATATTATTTTTTTAACTGATTGTAAGTGTGTTGGCTAAAGATCTTACCAAATAACAAGCCCTCAGTATCTTTTTCAACAATCAAAAACTATTGTAATATGCAAAGGCTTTACCGGATTGATTGCAACAAAACGGTTTATTCCATTATGACATGCAAAACTTTACCACACTGACTACATTTATAAGGTTTCACGGCAGTATGTTTTTTCTCATTATTTCGAAGACTATTGATACAAGCAAAGATTTTACCACACTGATTACATTCATAGGGCTTCTCTCCAATGTGTTCTTTTATGCTTTTGAAGATTACAGTGTCGTGTGAAAGCTTTACCACATTGATTACATTCATAGGGTTTCTCTCCAGTATGTATTCTTTCATGGCTTCGGAGATGACTGTGAAGGGCAAAAGCTTTACCACATTGATTACATTCATAGGGTTTCTCTCCAGTATGTGTTCTTTTATGGCTTCGGAGATGAGCGTGATGTGAAAAAGCTTTAGCACATTGATTACATTCATAGGGTTTCTCTCCAGTATGTGTTCTTTTATGCTTTTGAAGTTCATTGTGACCTGCAAAAGCTTTACCACATTGATTACATTCATATGGTTTCTCTCCAGTATGTGTTCTTTTATGCTTTTGAAGTTCATTGTGACCTGCAAAAGCTTTACCACATTGATTACATTCATATGGTTTCTCTCCAGTATGTGTTCTTTCATGCCTTTGAAGAGTATTGGTATGAGCAAAGGTTTTACCACATTGATTACATTCATAGGGTTTCTCTCCAGTATGTGTTCTTTTATGTATTTGGAGATGAATGTATTGTACAAAGGCTTTAGCACATTGATTACATTCATAGGGTTTCTCTCCAGTATGTGTTCTTTTATGTCTTTGAAGACCATAGTGACAAGCAAAGGCTTTACCACACTGATTACATTCATAGGGTTTTTCTCCAGTATGTGTTCTTGTATGCCTTTGAAGAACACTATGATGAGCAAAGGCTTTACCACACTGATTACATTCATATGATTTCTCTTCAGTATGTGATCTTTTGTGGCTTTGAAGATGACTATAATTTGCATAGGCTTTAACACATTGGATACATAAAGGTTTCTCTTCAGTTTGTCTTCTTTCATGCCTGCAAGAATAATTGGCACATGTAAAAGTTTCACCACATTCAATACATGGTTAAATCTTTGTATCAGTATGAATAAATTTTATACTTTGATTCAAAGGTAAAGAGAAATCAGATCTTAAGTTTTTTTATCACTGGGTTTACACTCATATTATTCCCCTTCATTAACAGATTTTTTGCTGTTGTTGTTTCTTTCAGACTTATTCTTTATTCTTCTTTTGTATTCTAATTCTGTACTCTTATCTCTATTCAGAATTGTCCCATCTGTCCTCTTGATGTTTTCCTCCTAATTCTCTCATTCTTGGTATTTTCCTTCTAAATCTATCTTCATTCTTTATGTTTTTCTTAAAATTCCTTCTAACTCTCTCATTCTTGGTGTTTTCTTTCTAACTCATTTTTACCTCTTTTATTCTTTCCCTTACAGCTTATATACACCAGCAAAAGCATTCAAGCAATATAACAATTACAATCTGGTTACACTGTTTTTCAAGTAAATGATTACAATGAATTCAAATAAAAAACAGTATGTTTTCAATGTCCCTTACATAAGTAAACATTTTACATACTACAGGTGAAAAACAAATTACCCCAAGAACCTATATACATTCATACCCAAGCAACTTGTTATAGATTAACTGTGTAGCAAGCAAGATATTCTTTTCAATCAGTTCTTTTGCTGGCAAGATGCATTTTGCAATTCCAGAGAATGGATTGATTACTTTATTACTTATCTTGAAAGGTAATCTTATAAGGAATATTAAAAGAATAACAAATCTAAACTCTTATGTATGAAAAAAACCCCAGTCAGCTCTACTTTAAATTTTTAGTATACATACCACATTCATCAATACTTTTTTTAATGTCAGGAGACTGAGGGCAAAAAGAAATTTTTTTATGGTAATAATATCCTTTATTACATGGCTCACATTTACAGAATCTTTTTTATATGAGATTTTTCACATATTTAAAGAGTACTGGAAAAACTCAGAGTTTTATCACCCTTACCACATTCATAAATTTTCCTATGTTATGAGTCATACAACATTTGCTAAGAGAACTAGGATAAATAAGTATTTACACAGTCCTAGTACTCATAGGGCTTTTCTGAAGTGTGATTTTGTTGATCTATTAACAATGAAGCTGAAAAGCCAATTACTTGTATACATGAATCAAATGCAACAAGTATACTCAAAGTGGGGACTGATTATAGTATATATATATTGTTCTTAGAGAGGTATGTTAGGTCTTTCCACATCCCTATGCTCATAGGACTTATACCCAGAGTAACATATACCATACCTAGAAAAGTAAGAATAACTCTTATGTTATACAAGGTTTCAACATTGAATTCACAATGTTGACTTTCTATTCCTCATAGACTTGTAGTATAGGTTAAGGTTTCTCCGCAACAACTGTCCCTTGACTCTAACTGCTCCTCATAGACTTGTGGTATAGATTTGAGATTTCTCCAGAACCACTGTCCTTTGACACTAACTACCCCTCTAACTAAACTAAGCACAGTCTCAAGTATATGAGATACACTGGATTTACTATGGGCTATTTACTTATTAGAATGTTTTGAAGATATACTTATCACCTCTTCAACATGTATACCTTTTGTAATATGGGTGGCATGACTTGAATGGATTGACAAATCTACAGTCTAGCTCTCATGGAGCTATGATTCAAATGGTGATATCTGCTAAGACATTGTTTCCATGACTTCTTTTTTAAATGAATGACTTGCAAATGCAATTCATTTACCAAAAATTGAGGTATATAGTTTTGTGAGAATTGAATAATCATCCATGCACATTAAGCTGTGAGTATTTATACTGTTGCTTTTGTTTAAAACTTTTAGGGCATGTTACAATTTCTTCAGAGGTACATTTCTATCAATTTGCACATGATAATTACCTTTCATGTCTTCTAGAACTGTGACTATGTTCTTCAATATTATGGTCTTCCCAATTGTATCCTAAAATATAGTAACAGAAAATGTATGGTATATTATTGGAAAGGGTGCAAAATTTAACTTACCAACTTCAGTGAACCTTAGAATAATGCCTGATTTATGAACCTCAGTATTCTTTCTCAAACAAATTACCGAAGGGCATCAAAAACAAAGAAACAGTTGTCCCCTTATTTTAAAATGTGAAGGAAAATTCAGTCTTACCTATGGTAGTGAGGTTCCTGTAGGTCTCCAGCATCACATCTTTGTAGAGCGTCTTCTGGGAAGGATCCAGCAAAGTCCACTCTTCCCAAGTGAAGTCGACATGCACATCATCATAGGTCACTGTATTCTAAAATATCCCATGCATGTGTACAACAGAAAGCATGATACTGACTATATTGCAAATGAATACTTCTTTGACAGTATACTCATATAATTCTAGTGCTCCCCACACTTATTCCATGACATAGACATCGTAATGTAATCGCTCAGTCACTTCTGTCAACTCTGTTCCCTGGGAATGGGATGTCACCTTGCAAGATAAATGCCTACTAAAAACCAGACAGAAAACTAAACAGGTAAGAAGTACAGAGTACACATGAGAGAAATTGTATGAACAATTACTAACTACAAAAAAGAAAACTAAGATGGACAAGCTGGGTGTTTTGGCTAACACCTTTCACTTCTGCACTCAGAAGTCAGAGGCAGATATATCTGCCTTGGAGTTGAATGCCAGCCTAGTATATGCAGTCAGTTCTAGGACAGCCAGAAGTACATATTAAAAATTAGTACATGCAAAATTAGTCAAAAAACAAAAAAGAAAAAACTCAGATTTTTACTGACTATTTCTACAAAGAGTTATGCATTCACTCCAGTCCTGTATTCCTCTTCCAGAAACTTGAAGTACCCCAATTTAAACTGTTACATCAACAAGGTTTACTTAAAGTCACTGCATGTTTAAACTGTTAGAAATGGACAGATGAAGAATTAGCCATACAAATGCTATTCATAAATAACACAGGGCAGAAGAGATGGCACAGCAGTAAAGATCTCTTGCAGGTCTTGCATATAGGTGCCTCAACTGCTAGTATTACTGGGGGAGGGAGGTTACAACTACCCATATTTCCAAGTTCAGGGTTTCTGAGACCATCTTTTGACCATTGTGAGGACCAGGTACCCTAGTGGTGCACATCCATCCATACAGGTAAAACACTCATTTTCATTTAAAAAAAAATCATAACAAATACAACAGGGAGGAAGAACGTGATGTACTTGCAATCCAATGACTCCAAAGGCTCAGTCAATATTAATGTTATGCATACATGCCATCCTAGAACAGAACTGTACCCTCTGCCCAATTTTAAAATTGAAGATATGAGCAAGGCTCAGAACAACATCATATGCTTGTTTGACGTGGACAAAAACTTGCATTCCAGACCCATCACACAGTAACATTAAATAAATAAACAAATAAAAAACAAGCCAGGTATAATATTGGCCCACATTTGATCCCAGAATTTAGAAACCAGAGACAAGGGGACCTCTGAGTTCAAGGCCAGCCTGGTATACCAAGCTACTTTCAGGACATCGAGGGCTACACAGCTAAACCTTGTCTGTAGGGGGCCGTTTCCTATATTCTCCATTACAATAATGGTGCCTAAAGACACCAAGATGTAAATTACTTCAACAGGCGCTGGGTAATCTCCATTCCTTTGATCTCTGCCTATCCCGTGGCTCATTTGGCCTGAGGAGCTGAAGCCATTCATAGGGTAACACGTCCCAGGCGGCTGGCCAGCCTTTATTAGGGATGGGTTTTCTTGGTTCAGAGTCTCCGCTCTGGTAAGCTTATGCTCTCTCCAACTCTCAAGATGCATTAAAGCTTGTCTGCAGAAGGATCCGAGTGTCCTGCGTGTATTTCTTGCCGGCGAGAAAATACAGCGCGCGGGACACTTGTCTTCAAAAACAAGTAAATTAAAACAAAGCAGAAGGGTAGAAAACTGGCTTAGCACTAAATAGCAATTGTTTCTACTGTATCTTATGTGAATCATGCATAGAGTCTATAATGTTGGTCAAGGTATGACAGTACAAGAAGGAAGCTAGATGATTAGTTTCAACCACAACACAGGAGAAACAAAGAACAGAAAATAGGGTGAGGCTATAGAGATTCATATCATATCCCCAATGTAGAATTTCATACAGAAAGACTCCTCCTACTACAGGTGTCATGAGAAATCTAAAGAAAGTCACCAAGGAGAGACATATATGCAAACATACAATCCTATCTGGGAGGTTTTTCATTCAGTCAACTACATTCTGACACAGGTCGCTATAGGCTAATGGTCATCCATGAAGAAAATGCATTTAGTCACTTCAATGATCCTCATAATCTGCAACTATTGTTTGTGGTAGAATATTATTTTAAGGTGTGTGACTTTTGTTTGTGTTGCATTTGTGTAACTTGATGAAGCTGTGATCTTTGGTTGTCTAAAACACCCAATGGTCTAATAAAGAGTCAAATGGTCAATAGCGAGACAGGAACAACCATAGGCAGGGCTGGCAGGCAGAGAGTATAAGTAGGAGAAAAAAGGAAAAGAATAGCAAGACAACCATGAGAAGAGGGTGTCAGGGGTCAGCCACCCAGCTACACAGCAATTCATAGAGTAAGAGTAAGATTTACTTAAGAGAACAGAAAAAAGCCCAGAGACAAAAGGTAGACAGGATAATTTAAGTTAAGAAAAGCTGGCTAGCAATGAGCTAGCCAGGACATTCATAACTAACAACAAGACTCCATGTGTGATTCATTTGGGAGCTGGGTGGTGTGCCACCCAAAGAGAAAATACCTCCTACTATTGTTGTTAAAATGTCTATTCAAAATGTCCAGTCTCTTCTGATACTCAAAACAATCTTTCCTAGCAATCTTTCAAACTCACTAAGAGTCTACAATCAATCTCTTCTAATTAGCCCCATTTGGGGTCTAATTTTTTTCTAAATCTATTTATCAGTCTAAATACTTACTAGAATCTCCTCAGTGTATTTTTTCAGGAGCAATTGTAACCCCCAACAAGACAAAATGTTCTATACTTCTTCAAACATTCTTTCTAAAGTATCTACATTTGAATCAGATATTAAAATTAAATCTCATCCATGTAATGGTAAACTCTAGACTGAGGAAATTGCTTATGTATCATTTCCAACAGCTGACATACAAAATATCGTCACAGAGTGGAACTAGTTAACATTTCCTTTGGGAGAACCTTCCGTTGATATCATTTAGCAGGTTGAGAATTATTATAAGTAGATAAGGTGAAGGCAAATTTCTCTCTGTCTTTTTCTGTAAAGCTATAGTGAAAAAAACAATCTATTAAATCAATAATTATAAGAGTCCATCCTTTAGGGAATAGAAATGACAAAGGAATTCCAGACTGTAGAGAGCCCACTGGCTGAATCACCTTATTAACGGTTCTTAGATCTGTTACCATTCTCCATTTTCCAGATTTCTTTTTAACAACAAATATAGGAGAAGTCCAAGGACTGATTGACTCTTCAATATGCTGAGTATTTAGCTGCTCCTGTACCAGCTGTTCTAAAGCCTGCAATTTCTCTGTTGTTAAAGGCCACTGCACAACTCATATGGGTTTCTCTGTCAACCATTTTAAAGGTTCTTGATGTCTTTGAAAGATCAGAAGCTGTTGTTTTGCTCTGTTCTTTTACAACCTGAATGGTTGTACAAGAGTGAATGACTGTTCTTTACAATACCTCCTAATATTTTTCCCTGAAACACACCTTAATTTATGGTTTGTTTCTAAGATTTTGGGGATGTTAATCTGAGTATTCTTCTGCTGTAACAAATCATGTGCCCACAAATTCATTGCTATGTTAGCAATATGTGACTTTAATTTTCCCCTCTGTCCTTCTGGCCCTATACATTTGACCCATCTTGTGCCCCCCCCTTTTTTTTCTTTTAACCTGAGATAAAATTCCAATCCCTAAAAGCTGAATATTTACCTCCTGAAGAGGCCAATTTGGATGCCAAGATTCTGGTGAAATAATTGTTACATCTGCACCTGTGCATACCAGACACATAAATGACAACATCATTTATTCCTATTTTTAATTTTAGTCTTAGCTTATTTGTAGAAGTTTGCCAAAATACTCACTTTACGGTTTTCCTGAAAGTTTTGTTCTCTTTTCTATAGCTGTTTTATCAACCAGTGTTATCATTCTATTTACTGCTGAAGTCAGTCTTTGCAAGAAATCCATGAAGGCTTCCTTTGGACCCTGTATAACTTTAGTAAATGACTCAATTTTCTTTCTTACTTCTCCAATTCTATCCCAAACATTCAAAAATGCCATGCAATATAAATCCAGGACATGGTCATCATATACAGCTTGCCTTTGTACATTATTATAATATCCCTCTCCAAGAAGTTGATGCTGGCAGATTTCCACCCTTCTAGCCCTACTCACTTGTTCAATGGTCTTAGCCTCATCTTTGAACTCCATTGTAATTGTGGACCAGGCTCTAAAACAGCTTTAACCAGTCTCTGGGGATAATTCGATTACAAGCTGACCTAAAATTTAACATCTGCTTCACAAAAGGTAAATGCATGAGACTATCACTTCCTTGAATCTCCTTAAATCTAACATTTCCACAGGAGTCGATTTAGCTCTTGTATGACCTTGGGGATATCTATAATTTGGCAGTTGTTCCTGTAAGGTGACTGGATAAATTAAAGATGGTCCTTTGAAAACCTTAAGCTGACCATCCCAGCGGGGTCCAGCCCAGCCAGAGACTACCAGCTAGAGTCCTAGTCCCTTTCTCTGCCCACAGGATGAGGAAGAGGAGAGCCATCAGAGTATTGAACCTGCTTGCACCCACAGGAAGGGAAGTTTGGACCTGTACCCATCAGGAGAGTAAGAGACTTCTTCTGCACCCACTGGAAGAAGGGATGGGAAGACAATATAAAAACACATTCAACAACAGAAAAACCAATATGACACCACAAGGATCTAGGGACTCTACACCAACAAGACCTGAACGTCACAAAGCAGATGAAACAGAAGAGAAGACCTTAAAAAAAAGACATCATGAATATGATAGAGGTCCTCAAAGAAGATATGAGAAAATCCCTTAAAGAAATGGAAGAAAAAGCAAACCAAAAATTACAAGAAATCAACAAATCTCTTAAAGCCAAGAAAAAACAATCAAACAGATAAAGGAAACAGTTCAAGACCTGAAAACTGAAATAGAGACAATAAAGAAAACACAAACTGAGGGAATGCTGGAAATAGAAAAGCTAGGTAAATGATCAGGAACTACAGATGCAAGCATAGCCAACAGAATACAAG